ATCGAGGGTTTTGAACCCCGAAAGTTTGTGTTTTATTTTTTGAGGGCTACTGATGGACAAAATCTATTTCGCATCACCCAAGACAACGTGGTTGAAGTCATTGTTGGTATTCACAGGGGATCATATATCATAGGGTTTCTTGGTGCGGAATGGATTTCGTCCACCGTATTTCTCTTTTGAAATATAAGCTGAACCTTGTTTGCCGGAAGGCCCGAACCTAAACGCAGATCCGTCGGGAAGCGTTGCGCCCGAGTTTGGGCTTGGCATCCGACGCGAAGCAAAGAGGCCGATTTGCTGAGTGCGAAATGTGTGTTTTGAGGGTGCCCGTTTCAGGCATGGGACAAAGGGAGACCATGGGTAAACCAGTGGGAAGTTGTGGGGTCCATATTGTTTTGCAACGACATCTTGATTTTCTCGACATGGAACCAGAACGGGATGGCCTTCTTTAGGGTTTTTTGGAATCCCCTGTGTGGAACGTGGCGAACCACGGCTGAAACTGTGGGGCACATGGAGGCAGAATCCCCCGATCTCGCTGCCTTTCAAGGGGTCCAGAAAGGGGACCCGGTTTTTAACGGAAGACCATGGTCGAATTTCGGACATTGTTTGCGTTTAAAGCCATTGTCCCCTTTCTGGACCTACAACAACAAGTTGGAAGCCATGTAATACATCTGGAAGGATGAATGGTTTTGAAAGCCGTTCCATCTTCCAGATGGATTATATGGTTTCCAACTTGTTGTTGTCGTGTCCACCGGTTGCGGAGTAGGATAATTGGCATCCCCCAATTTGGATCAACCCAGGCAATCATGTTGCTTGCTTGGCTTGCCTCGTTCAAGCAAGGCAGAAAGCTAGGCTGGGCTGCGTGTTGCGGACAGTCCAGATTGTTTTTCTTCTTTTTGTGTTTTTTTCCTCAGTTTGTCAAGTTTAGCAATTTGTGAACAGCTTCATCCACATACTCAGATGGCCCCGGCGGGGGCGGCGGGCAGGGGGGAAGCTAGCTAAATGATACATTCTCCTAGTGCAGTTTCATGGTTGTTGTTGGGAAACATTTTGCATTTTTGCTTATTGTGGTTTAGTGGTTGAAATCCAACCACTTAACTGCTAAAATTTAATTGTTTGCTCCCGTTCCAACGTCAACCAAGGTTTCACAGGGTGTAACTGGATAAGGCAGTCGATTCATATCGCCAAACCAAACAGGCCGCCGGTGAGGGGTTAGTTGGGGACTGCTTACGAGTCGCTGCCTGCCATTTGACAGGACATGAAGGGGGTCCCGGTGTGTTTCTTTCGAATATTTGTTTCGCATGACCGAGCCACAATCAAAACCCGGGTAGATGAAGGTTAGCAAAGGGGCAGTCCCAGCCGGAAATAGTTGCGGTCGCCTTTCTAATTCTTGAAGCATGGTTCTGGGTTTACCATTTCTGTACCAGGTTTTGACCGTGACTCACTTGTTCCCTTTTGCGCATGTTGCCAAGGGATGTTCGGACTTTAGCGCATTTTCTGTCAACGAATCTGGGTTTTCCAAAATTGAACCACCAAACTAATGAAGGGAGAATAACTTCCACCACCAATGAGTTTTTGCCAGCGATGTTAGGACTTTAGCGCATTTTTTGCCAACGAATGAATGGGTTTTCCCAAATGAACCACCACAAGTTGACCTGTTAGCAGGGGAGCAGATGTCGCAACCGAGAAATGGTTTGTTTCTGTTGGTCTGCTTTCTCTTTTTTGTGGGTGCAGATGGTGCAGGGCCAGGGTGGCGCGGAAACCCAGTTTCTTTCCCCTCGTTTTTTTTTTTTTTTGTGTCGCATCACTTGGCCCCGATTTGGGTGAGTTTCCCTCATGATTCTAGGGGCACCTTCCATTTCCATTCTTTCCAGGGATCCGAATCTTTTCAGGAAACCATCAAAAATTCAGGGAAAAGTTGAGATCGGTTTTGAAAAAAGAACGATGGTTGAAACATAATGGTTGGAATGAAGCCCTAGAACAATGGACACCACGTCAAGGACACCAGCCTTGGGATGCCCATTGGGTTAAGTCTCCGAGTCGCCCAGGTGAATCAGCCCCTTGGTGAGGTCATTGGAGCCTCGCTCGCTCGCGCGCCAAGGCCATTGAGGAGAGGATGGGCCAGCTGGAGGAGATGGGCTGCGAATTCCGAAGCCCTTGGGTTTTTTTTGGGCCCTTCAGCTCCATCGGTGCGCGTGGGGAATTCTCAGCTCCTGAGTTCATGAACTTTAAACACTTTTTGGGCTTGGACCATTTTAGTGGTAAGAAGAAACCTTGGTGACTGTCTTTGGGGCCACTCAGCCAGTGAGAATTTGAGTTCAGCCTCGGTGCGAGTGGGTGACTTTGAATTTAGTTTCAGTGTGAGTTGGGCATTTGAGTTTAGCCTCAGTGTGAGTGGGGAATTTGAGTTTAGCTTTAGTGTGAGTGGGTGACTTTGAGTTTAGCCTCAGTGTGAGTGGGTGAATTTGAAATTAGCTTCGGTTCGAGTGGGTGACTTTGAGTTTAGCTTCAGTGTGAGTGGGGCATTTGAGTTTAGCCTCAGTGTGAGTGGGGAATTTGAGTTTAGCCTCAGTGTGAGTGGGTGTATTTGATTTTTCCCGTGGTGCGAGTGGGTGAATTTGAGTTTAGCTTCGGTGCGAGTGGGTGACTTTGAATTTAGCTTCAGTGCGAGTGGGGGCATTTGAGTTTAGCCTCGGTGTGAGTGGGTGAATTTGAGTTTAGCTTCGGTGCGAGTGGGTGACTTTGAGTTTAGCTGCAGTGTGAGTCGGGCATTTGAGTTTAGCCTCAGTGGGGAATTTAAGTTTAGCCTCGGTGTGAGTGGGGAATTTAAGTTTAGCCTTGGTGTGAGTGGGTGAATTTGAGTTTAGCTTCGGTGCGAGTGGGTAGCTTTGAGTTTAGCTTCAGTGTGCGTGGGGCATTTGAGTTTAGCCTCAGTGTGAGTGTGGAATTTAAGTATAGCCTCAGTGCGAGTGCGTGAATTTAAGTTTAGCCTCGGTGTGTGTGTGGGTGAATTTGAGTTTAGCTTCGGTGCGAGTGGGTGACTTTGAGTTTAGCTTCAGTGCGAGTGGGTTACTTTGAGTTTAGCCTCAGTGTGAGTGGGCGCATTTGAGTTTAGCCTCAGTGTGAGTGGGTGAATTTGAGTTTAGCCGCGGTGCGAGTGGGTGTCTTTGAGTTTAGCTTCAGTGCGAGTGAGTGACTTTGAGTTTAGCCTCAGTGTGAGTGGGTGAATTTGAGTTTAGCCTCGGTGTGAGTGGGTGAATTTGAGTTTAGCCTCAGTGTGAGTGGGTGACTTTGAGTTTAACCTCGGTGTGAGTGGGTGAATTTGAGTTTAGCTTCGGTGCGAGTGGGTAACTTTGAGTTTAGCTTCAGTGCGAGTGGGTGACTTTGAGTTTAGCCTCAGTGCGAGTGGGTGAATTTGAGTTTAGCGCCTCAGTGTGAGTGGGAGAAATTGAGTTTAGCCTCGGTGCGAGTGGGTGACTTTGAGTTTAGCTTCGGTGCGAGTGCGTGACTTTGAGTTTAGCCTCGGTGTGAGTGGGTGACGTTGAGTTTAGCCTCAGTGTGAGTGGGTGAATTTGAGTTTAGCCTCGGTGTGAGTCGGTGAATTTGAGTTTAGCCTCAGTGTGAGTGGGTGACTTTGAGTTTAGCTTCACAGTGTGAGTGGGTGAATTTGAATTTAGCTCAGTGTGAGTGGAGAAATTAAGTTTAGCCTCGGTGTGAGTGGGTGAATTTAAGTTTAGCCTCGGTGTGAGTGGGTGACTTTGAGTTTAGCTTCGGTGCGAGTGGGTGAATTTGAGTTTAGCTTCAGTGCAAATGGGTGACTTTGAGTTTAGCCTCAGTGTGAGTGGGTGAATTTGAGTTTAGCCTCACTGTGAGTGGGTGACGTTGAGTTTTGCTTCGGTGCGAGTGGGTGAATTTGAGTTTAGCCTCATTGTGAGTGGGTGACTTTGAGTTTAGCCTCAGCGTAAGTGGGTGAATTTGAGGTCAGCCTCAGTGTGAGTGGGTGACTTTGAGTTTAGCCTCAGTGTGAGTGGGTGAATTTGAGTTTAGCTTCCGTGCGAGTGGGTGACTTTGAGTTTAGCTTCAGTGTGAGTGGGTGCATTTGAGTTTCGCCTCGGTGTGAGTGGGTGAATTTGAGTTTAGCCTCGGTGCAAGAGGGTGAATTTAAGTTTAGCCTCGGTGCGAGAGGTGAATTTGAGTGTAGCCTCGGTGCGAGTGGGTGAATTTGAGTTTTTCTTCGGTGCAAGTGGGTGACTTTGAGTTTAGCCTCAGTGTGAGTGGGTGAATTTGAGTTTAGCCTCGGTGCGAGTGGGGAATTTAAGTTTAGCCTCGGTGCGAGTGGGTGATTTTTTAGGTTAGCTTCAGTGCGAGTGGGTGACTTTGAGTTTATCCTCGGTGTGAGTGGGTGACTTTGAGTTTTGCCTCAGTGTGAGTGGGTGAATTTGAGTTTAGCTTCAGTGCGAGTGGGTGAATTTGAGTTTAGCCTCAGTGTGAGTGGGTGAATTTGAGCTTAGCTTCGGTGCGAGTGGGTGACTTTGAGTTTAGCGCCTCAGTGTGAGTGGTCGAATTTGAGTTTAGCCTCAGTGTGAGTGGGTGAATTTGAGTTTAGCTTCGGTGCGAGTGGGTGAATTTGAGTTTAGCTTCGGTGCGAGTGGGTGTTTGAGTTTAGGCTCAGTGTGAGTGGGTGAATTTGAGTTTAGCTTCGGTGCGAGTGGGTGACTTTCTGAGTTTAGCCTCATTGTGAGTTGGTGAAATTGAGTTTAGCCTCAGTGTGAGTGGGTGAATTTGAGTTTAGCCTCAGTGTGAGTTGGTGAAGTTGAGTTTAGCTTCAGTGCGAGTGGGTGAATTTGAGTTTAGCCTCGGTGTGAGTGGGTGAATCTGAGTTTAGCTTCGGTGCGAGTGGGCGAATTTGAGTTTAGCCTCGGAGCAAGTGGGTGAATTTGAGTTTAGCCTCGGTGCGAGTGGGTGAATTTGCGTTTAGCCTCGGTGCGAGTGGGTGAATTTGAGTTTAGCCTCGGTGCGAGTGGGTGAATTTGAGTTTAGCCTCGGTGCGAGTGGGTGAATTTGAGTTTAGCCTCGGTGCGAGTGGGTGACTTTGAAATTTGAGTTTAGCTTCAGTGTGAGTGGGACATTTGATTTTAGCCTCAGTCTGAGTGGGTGAATTTGAGTTTAGCTTCGGTGCGAGTGGGTGACTTTGAGTTTAGCCTCAGTGTGAGTGGGTGAATTTGAGTTTAGCCTCAGTCTGAGTGGGTGAATTTGAGTTTTGCTTCGGTGCGAGTGGGTGACATTGAGTTTAGCCTCAGTGTGAGTGGGTGAATTTGACTTTGGCCTCGGTGCGAGTGGGTGAATTTGAGTTTAGCCTCAGTGTGAGTGGGTGACTTTGAGTTTAGCTTCACTGTGAGTGGGTGCATTTGAGCTTAGCCTCGGTGTGAGTGGGTGAATTTGAGTTTAGCCACTGTGCGAGAGGGTGAATTTGAGTTTAGCCTCGGTGCGAGTGGGTGAATTTGAGATTAGCCTCGGTGCGAGTGGGTGACTTTGAGTTTAGCTTCAGTGTGAGTGGGACATTTGAGTTTAGCCTCAGTCTGAGTGGGTCAATTTGAGTTTTGCTTCGGTGCGAGTGGGTGACTTTGAGTTTAGCCTCAGTGTGAGTGGGTGAATTTGACTTTAGCCTCGGTGCGAGTGGGTGAATTTGAGTTTAGCCTCAGTGTGAGTGGGTGAATTTGAGTTTAGCCTCAGTGTGAGTGGGTGACTTTGAGTTTAGCTTCACTATGAGTGGGGCATTTGAGTTTAGCCTCGGTGCGAGTGGGTGAATTTGAGTTTAGCCTCGGTGTGAGTGAGTGAATTTGAGTTTAGCCTCAGTGTGAGTGGGTGGATTTGAGTGTAGCCTCGGTGCGAGTGGGTGAAGTTGAGTTTAGCCTCGGTGCGAGTGGGTGAATTTGAGTTTAGCCTCAGTGTGAGTGGGTGAATTTGAGTTTAGCCTCAGTGTGCGTGGGTGACTTTGAGTGTAGCCTCAGTCTGAGTGGGGGAATTTGAGTTTAGCCTCACTGTGAGCGTGTGAATTTGAGTTTAGCCTCAGTCTGAGTGGGTGAATTTGAGTTTAGCCTCAGTGTGAGTGGGACATTTGAGTTTAGCCTCAGTGTGAGTGGGTGAATTTGGGTTCAGCCTCAGTGTGAGTGGGGCATTTGAGTTTAGCCTCAGTGTGAGTTGGTGAAATTGAGTTTAGCTTCAGTGCGAGTGGGTGAATTTGAGTTTAGCCTCGGTGTGAGTGGGTGAATCTGAGTTTAGCCTCAGTGTGAGTGGGTGACTTTGAGTTTAGCTTCACTGTGAGTGGGTGCATTTGAGTTTAGCCTCAGTGTGAGTGGGTGACTTTGAGTTTAGCCACTGTGCGAGAGGGTGAATTTGAGGTTAGCCTCGGTGCGAGTGGGTGAACTTGAGATTAGCCTCGGTGCGAGTGGGTGACTTTGAGTTTAGCTTCAGTGTGAGTGGGACATTTGAGTTTAGCCTCAGTCTGAGTGGGTCAATTTGAGTTTTGCTTCGGTGCGAGTGGGTGACTTTGAGTTTAGCCTCAGTGTGAGTGGGTGAATTTGACTTTAGCCTCGGTGCGAGTGGGTGAATTTGAGTTTAGCCTCAGTGTGAGTGGGTGAATATGAGTTTCGCCACGGTGTGAGTGGGTGACTTTGAGTTTAGCTTCACTGTGAGTGGGGCATTTGAGTTTAGCCTCGGTGTGAGTGTGTGAATTTGAGTTTAGCCTCAGTGTGAGTGGGTGAATTTGAGTTTAGCCTCAGTCTGAGTGGGTGACTTTGAGTTTAGCCTCGGTGTGAGTGGGTGACTTTGAGTTTAGCTTCACTGTCAGTGGGTGACTTTGAGTTTAGCTTCACTGTGAGTGGGTGAATTTGAGTTTAGCCTCAGTGTGAGTGGGTGACTTTGAGGTTAGTTTCACTGTGAGTGGGTGCATTTGAGTTTAGCCTCGGTGTGAGTGTCTGAATTTGAGTTTAGCCTCAGTGTGAGTGGGTGAATTTGAGTTTAGCCTCAGTCTGAGTGGGTGACTTTGAGTTTAGCCTCGGTGTGAGTGGGTGACTTTGAGTTTAGCTTCACTGTGAGTGGGTGAATTTGAGTTTAGCCTCGGTGCGAGTGGGTGAATTTGAGTTTAGCCTCGGTGCGAGTGGGTGAATTTGAGTTTAGCCTCAGTGTGAGTGTGTGAATTTGAGTTTAGCCTCAGTGTGAGTGGGTGAATTTGAGTTTAGCCTCAGTGTGAGTGGGTGAATTTGAGTTTAGCCTCAGTGTGAGTGGGTGAATTTGAGTTTAGCCTCAGTGTGAGTGGGTGAATTTGAGTTTAGCCTCAGTGTGAGTGGGTGAATTTGAGTTTAGCCTCAGTGTGAGTGGGTGAATTTGAGTTTAGCCTCGGTGCGAGTGGGTGAATTTGAGTTTAGCCTCGGTGCGAGTGGGTGAATTTGAGTTTAGCCTCGGTGCGAGTGGGTGAATTTGAGTTTAGCCTCGGTGCGAGTGGGTGAATTTGAGTTTAGCCTCAGTTTAGCGAGTGGGTGAATTTGAGTTTAGCCTCAGTGTGAGTGGGTGAATTTGAGTTTAGCCTCGGTGCGAGTTTAGCCTCGAGTGGTGTGAATCAGTGTGAGTGGGTGAATTTGAGTTTAGCCTCAGTGTGAGTGGGTGAATTTGAGTTTAGCCTCAGTGTGAGTGGGTGAATTTGAGTTTAGCCTCAGTGTGAGTGGGTGACTTTGAGTTTAGCCTCACTGTGAGTGGGGCATTTGAGTTTAGCCTCGGTGTGAGTGGGTTGAGCCTCAGTGTGAGTGGGTGAATTTGAGTTTAGCCTCAGTGTGAGTGGGTGGATTTGAGTTTAGCCTCGGTGCGAGTGGGTGAATTTGAGTTTAGCCTCGGTGCGAGTGGGTGAATTTGAGTTTAGCCTCGGTGCGAGTGGGTGGATTTGAGTTTCGCCGTTTAGCCTCGGTGTGAGTGGGTGAATTTGAGTTTAGCCTCGGTGCGAGAGGGTGAATTTGAGTGTAGCCTCGGTGTGAGTGGAGAATTTGAGTTTAGCCTCAGTGTGAGTGGGTGAATTTGAGTTTAGCCTCGGTGCGAGTGGGTGAATTTGAGTTTAGCCTCGGTGCGAGTGGGTGCATTTGAGTTTCGCCTCGGTGTGAGTGGGTGAATTTGAGTTTAGCCTCGGTGCGAGAGGGTGAATTTGAGTTTAGCTTCACTGTGAGTGGGTGCATTTAAGTTTAGCCTCGGTGCGAGTGGGTGACTTTGAGTTTAGCCTCGGTGTGATGAGTGGAAATCACAGCTCGGTGGGATTCATGTCCAGCCACTTTTTATGAAGGGCCCTGCTGAAATTCATGGGCGCAAGGTTACAAGGGCACGGGCGTGGTCAGATTCCAATGGCTTCGTTGTATCTTCGGGTTTCGAGTCGGCCTTGTGATGCTCACACAGGATAGGAAGCTCGGGAGAGCTCGTCCCAGCCAAGGGACGTATGCATTATAATTCAGCCGTTTGAAGCCTGGCAGAGGAGCCCGTTGTCCCTCAACAACCACCGATCATGGGGCCGCCATTTTTGTCTTCCCTGTAGGGGTATCTTTTTTGGGGTCTACCTGGAGTTGCTTAGGTTGCCAACACAAGTCCATACTTATTTTCGTGCCCAGGACCCCGAAAACGTCAGCTGTTCGTCTGCTTCACTTGTTCCAGACCCTCGATTTAAGCTTAAACCCGGCTTCTTGGATGGATATGGGTCAAAATGAAACCATCAGAGGACCGCTGGTTGTAGTCTTTGTTTCCATTTGCCAGGGCAAACCATGTGGGGTACCTATTTTTGACCAGCCAAATGTTTTAGAGATGGCATGTTAATTAGTTTGCTAGGAAGTACTCGGTACATGGAACCAGCTCTTACATTTTGAGCCACAGCCACCTGGAGTCTCCTTCTGACCCTTTTCATGGGTCCATGACCCCATGATTTTGCCAAATGACACCATTTTTAAAGGGTCAGAAGGAGACTCCAGGCAGATGTTTCTACTTAAACCCGGATTCCCTCCATTTTTGTTGGGGGGGTACCTATATTTGAAGAGGTTTTTCCGGACCCCGTGTTTGACACCCGGAGGAGACGGTGAACCAAGACCGCCAGCGCCTGCGGCAAGGCTGCGAAACCTTCGACGGCCGCATCTTCCAGGTGCCCAGCGAGGCGCCTCGCGGGTGAGCTCGATCAGGCCAATAAGGAAGTGAACGGGTTTGTGTGGCTGGTCAATCCCAGTGGGTAGCTTTGTTTTGCATGTTGCTTGGGTGTTAGGACTTTAAACTGTTTGCCAACTATTGGGTGTTCGATCAGATTTGAGGTTGCATGTTGCGTTCCGTTTTTACATCATTTCGGGTTATGATGTAAGGCATGCAAGGGCAAACATTGCCCGCCCCAAAGGTGCTGTTTCACTTGTTGAAAGGGTTGTGGTTTGTCATAAGGCCCAATGGGCAATTGCCCTCTCCACTCACAGATCGCACCTGTTGACGGGTACCTGGAAGATCAATTTGCTGAAGGGACCCATCAATTTGGGTGCCATGATAGTTGGAGGGAGGGTACCCAAGAAAAGAACACATTGGTTTTGCAGACCTATCTTTCCCCGTGTCTTTCTCTTTCGTCCCTTTCTCTCTTTCTCTTTGTCTGTTTGCCTTTCTCTTTTTTATTTCTCTTGCTTCCCTTTCTCGTTTTCTTTCTGTCTGGTTTCTCTACCATTTTGTCTTTCTTTGTCCTTTCTCTCCCTCTTTATCTTTCTCTTTGTCTTTCTCTTTCTCCTCTTTCTCTTTCTCCTTGTTTTCTCTTTGTTATTTTCCCTCTTTCATTCATTCCCCAGCCTGCGAAAGCGACAACGCGCAACAGAAGACTCCGAGTATCTCCGAGTTCTTTGGAGGCTAACCCTCGAAAGTCTGCAGAGGGTCACGTGAGAGAAGCGAAGCCCAGCACCGCAGCCACCACTTGCAATGGGCCCGTCGCCGAGACCGCCCCGAACCCACACCGAGATTGCGACATCGCCACGGAGCTGGCCCAGAGCACACGCCCAGGTGCTCTGGGCCACAGTTTTAATCAGTTTTGCATGGCATGTTCCGCGTGCAACAGGTTATTCTGAGAAACGCAACTCAGTTGGTTCCAGTACTACGGGAGATCCTTCTAAGCTTCCTTTGATTATTTCAGGCCACCTTCAATATGGACCAGAATCAAACAAATCGTTGTTTGTTGGAGGAAATATGTTTTCCAAGAGGGGCATGGTCAAAGGCGGCAGACCTATATATCTATCTCTCTCAAAAAAATGCTGGTCGTTTTGTTCCCAATCCGCTGGCATGTGGAGGTCCCCGGATTCCAAAGCCATCCCAACTTGTTTGGGTCTCCACGGGCAATTCCGGGCCCGTAGGCAGTGCCGGTATTTCGTGTTCGGTACCAACTTGACAGGGTAAAGGGGTCTTGCTTTCTGTTGGGCTTCGCCTTTGGTATTTTACCTTGTGGAAACTGAATGTTGCCCCCCCCCCCCCGCCCCCGACAATGAGCCCTCCCGCTGTGCAGGCCGAACACGCCGAGGGCCTTGCGTGGCTTGTGCCCTGGCGTCATGGTGCGAGATCCCTGAGGCTGACAGTCGCTGTCCAGGCTTGTGCAACTCTTGCATTCGGATCCAAAGAACATCTTCACGTGCTCAGCCGTGTTGAGGGCGAACTTTGTTTCCTTTGGAGGGGGGGGAATTGTTTTGTTTTGAGACTTGGTTTGCAATGTTTAGTCGCCTTCAGCGGCTTAGAATAGTTTTTTGGAATTGGTGTGTGTGTGTGTGATTTCAATTGAACCCCCAGGAGCTTGGATTTGTTGTCGGGGCCAAACAACCCGGGCGCAAGCACCCTTCGAATAACCTAACCCTATAACACGCTCCCTGAATCTGGCCCCACACGGAGAGAACTCACGTAGTGGTCCAACAATTGATGTTGCGTTTGGCTCAGGAAGGGACTTTGGGCTAGTGCAGTACAGTAGGGGACTGGTACCAGTTGCGAGGCCACCCCCCCCTCCCCACCAATTGCGGGAGCCCTTCTGGGGCGACATGACCAGGGAACTGTTGCAATTGTTGAGCCCAACAGGGTGCCCGGACCTGCCGAATGCATCCTGAATGGTCTGCCAGGCGCTTGTCATACGGTTTGCTTTAGCTTATCCAGGGGCACACCTTTCGAGCCCTGGCAGAGGCCCCATGCCATGTTTTCGTTCGACCAGCTGGGGCTGTTAACTAGGATTGGACTCGGATGCATTTGATTGTTGGTGTTTCAAGGTGGGGCGAAAGGGACATGCTTGCAATTGTCCTTTTGATATTGCGAAAGCACCCATGTCAACGTGCTATTCCGATGCAATGAGTTGGGCCGTGACTCCACTCAACCAACTCGGCCGCCTCACTTTGGTTTCTTATGCATGGGGCCTACAGCCGAAAACGAAAACTCAACCTGGGAATCATCTCCTCAACCCAACTCGGCCGGCCTCGCAATCTCCCCCATTTGGGTTGGCTTCATGCTCGCTCTTAGGAGGCTAGTCAGGGCCTCAGAATGTAAAACATGGCGTGTTGGCCCAGGATCAACCTGAATTTCCTTTTGGGTGATGTGATGTTTACCGGTCACTTATCTGGGGTCATTAAATTGTTTTTTGTCTTTTTCTTCTTTTTTTTTTGGGGGGGGGGGTTATCAAAGTCAGTAAATGGTTGCTTGTTTCTAGTCAACTCACCACTGAACGGGGGTGACTTTGATAGTAAAATAATGAGGCCAGAAAGAGGCACCCCCCCCCATTCCTCAACCAGGAGCTGTTAGTCTTATTTGTCTTCAGGGTTCCCACCAAACATAAGCTTGTTTGACCCATCGTGCCCCATGGTAAAATAACGAGTTGCCAGCTAAACAATCAGAACGAAACCGGCGGCGTGCCCCAAGCGGAAGCGACCGAGGCGGGGAAGCTGCGCAGAGGCGAGGCGGTCGCCTGGGACATGGAGTGGATCCCCGACTCGAGGAGGCGACCTGCGTGGTTTGGCGCTGGGTGGCGCTGGGCGGCGCCTTTTTTTTTTTTTGTGTGCGTGGGTGTGCAACCAAACATATTGTTTATTGCATGTTGCCAAGGGATGTTAGGACGTTAATGGGTTTTCTATTAAACCACTAAAAGTTAAAAACTTTTAGCAGGGGAGCAGAAAGCAACCGAGTATTGGGGGGTGATCAAACAGGTCTTTCACATGGGATGAAACATAGATCCTTTTAGTGTTTAGTGCTAGTTTCCATTTAACCCGTCTGGGATCTGAGGGCAGCCCAGTATTGGGGGGTGATCAAGCAGGCCCTTTTCCTGGGATGACCATGAGGAAGATCACTAAGAGGATGTTTCCGAAATTGGACAACTTACCCATGATCATTTGATCCACATATTCAAAATTCGGGTGGGTGAAGCTTAGTAAGGGACAGTCCCAGGAACACCAGCGGAAACGCTGTGTTTTTATTTTGACTCAGTGGGCCAATATTGATCAGGGCTCCTTAAAAGATGCATGTTGCAACCATTTGAAACATGGCATTTTCCGGCAACATACAGGGAAACCACCATTTACAAGTTACCAAGTTGCAATGTTCAGGTGTACAATGGAAGGATCCCTGTTGATCAACCCCCCATATGTCAAGCGCTTGAATCGCAGGAGCCAAAACCCAGTGGAGCTGCTGCACTCGCGGCGGCAGAGGGGGAACCGGGGAAACGACTCGACCGGTCGGATGGAGCCGGAGCCCGGCGCAGTGATCCGATGTTGGTCTCAGTTGTTCAAAGTTTAGTTTATTACCTTTTGGTTTTCCCTTCTTGGTCTACTTCTAGTAGAGGTCCCAAAAGGTGATCATTTGTTTCCAGGTCCTTTGCGCAAGTGAGTTGTAGGTGCTTCACTTGGGAATTCGGCCCTCCGTTGATTTCCTGTCGCAAAAGTGACACCAGACCTGGAACCATGGGATATTCTCGAAGGCTTAAGGACCTTTGCCAAGCACGGGGGGGGTCCATGGGCGAAATCATTGCAGTGTGAACTCTTTTCGCGGAGTAGATGTTGAAGATGTGCGCTCGCATATTTATGGGGCTTCACTTCAAGGGCAACTTCCCCCAAATCCGCCATGACATGATCGACTGCGAGGTTCCTTGTGTGACTGCCAAGAGACTGTTGGATGAACATCAATGTTAACTTCAGGCTAATTCGGAGAATTGCAGCAATCAAAGGAATCCACTTGGCAGGAGTACACTGAAAGAGAAGCACCCCTGATGAGCAGTGCCCTCCTTTTGACAATCCAAAGTTGAAATTAGAGAGAACACGAAACCAATGAAAGGGAATCCACGGCCTTACAAATAAGTCGTAAGGCTCTGCTTTGTGTGCACCCACCTTTCTCCTACCCTTGTTCCATTCCTTCCCTTTCCTTGCATCCTCCCTCCCTCCGGTGTGGCAGTCGCAAGTCAGGTTTGGTAGGTGGAGGGCACATGATGCAAACTGAGCTCTGAGGCAGTTTGCGGACGATGACACGGCGCTACTGGTGAAGATGGGGGGCAAGAGACAACTTCCGAAGGTGCCCAGAAGAGATGAGACGCCTTCTGAACGAGCGCGCGCGGAGTAATTACAAGCGAGAGCTAGGGCGAGTTTGATTCCCGGGGGGGTCACTTTTAGGGGAACAACCCGCCCTTGTCACAAGTCCATGTGCAATGTTTCTGGGTTGACGTTAGTCAGGCGGGTCGCTGCATGATGCTGCATGTGTCCCTGTTGGTGTTTGGCCGATGGTTTGCCAACATACCCTCCCACCAACTAACATGGAACTTGACAGGGGGGTTCTTGAAGATCCTTTTAAGGGGACCCCTGTCAGGTTCCATGTTAGTTGGTGGGAGGGTACCTTTCTTTCTTGCCATTTTCACCCTTTGTTGGCGGGTTGCAGCTGGGCAAAAGCATTGACCGTGTCTCTTCCGGGGAGTTGGTCGGCTCCCTCACGCCCTCAGGTCGTGAGAGAGCTTCTCACGTCGTCCGACTGCATCAAGGTGACAGTGGGCCAAGACGATAGAGACAAGGTGCGGTCGAGGGTGGGCAGGTTTGGTGCCCCAAGCTAGTCTGTCACTGACTTAGTCAGTCAGTGAGTTTGTTAGTTGGTTGGTTAGGTAGGTAGTTAGTTTGTTATTTAGAACCAACAAGCCACTTGACCAACCAACTACTGAACTGACTCTAACTAACCAACCAACTAACTATACCAGTAAGACTAAGTAACTGTCTACCTAAACTAACCACGGGGTCGATATTTGCACGTGCCCTTTTGCAGCACCCATCCTCGTGAGCACCCGTTTTCCAATGTCGGGTGAAGCCTCGCATTGGTTCCTTGATCCACTCATAGGAAGCACTGTGGATGGACGAAATCCTGCAGCACCTCAGAAATTCAGAAACCCTGGAGTGATGATTCCAATGTACATGCCAACAAACAATGGTTTCAACCATGGTTTCTTAGGTGGTGCGAAATGGATTTCGCAACCATCCACCGTATGTGGGCAGAGATGCCTGGAGGTCGAGCAGTCGTTCGAGCTGACGGCCGCGAATGTGGTCGACCTGCCCCGCGGATCCACGGATGGATCGGGCTTGTGGGCCGAAACGTATGGCTTACTGGGGAATACCCTCCATGGTGACCGGTTTGGACACAAGTCCAGATGCCACTTGCGTCCCCAATGCGTTTGGGTTCCTGTTGCACGTGTGCGGTTTTTGGGGAGGAGTTGCGCATGTCTTGATCCGAGTCTCGTGGGAGTCAACAGTTGCTCCGGAAGTTGGCCCAACTACCTCGAACCATTCTCAAGAAGTCCTTGCCCCATGGTTGGCTTTATCAACCAGGGTGCTGCCGCCCCCAACCCCCACTGCACCCGTAGTTGAATCCTCACTTCTACCATCATGAGGAGGACTTGACCCTTTTTCCTTTATGGGTCCAAACAAAAAGAGACCCTGGAATGATCATTCCCCAGCAAGTAATGGTTTCAACCATGGTAGCAAAGTGGTGCTCAGCATGGGTCCCAACAAAATGGATGGTTTTTTGATGGTTTCCTGAAAAGATTCGGCCCTGGGTTAAGAATGGAAATGGAAGGTGGGTGTCCCCTTTTCCCCTTATGGGTCCAAACAAGAAACGCCTGGCCTTGGATTTTCCCGCAGCTCGAGTCAGTCGAGGCAGAGCCTGGCGCAAGAGAAAGGCCTGGGCAGCAGCCTGGGCCTGCAGAAAATGGCACAGCTCTTCGGGATGAAGATGTTTAAGGACTCCTCCGCTGTTTCTTTTTTTTGCTGGGCTTTCGTTGTTTTTCCCCTTCTCCTTTTTTTTTGCGTGAAATTGATATGATCTGGCCAACGAGCAGTGTGCAATCCTCGACCTGTTTTATGCTATTTAGGGTCTATGCTGGTGTTTTGTTTGTTTTTTGCGGGCTCTAGCAAGCCGCACGAATTCCGTGGTTGTTAAACCCCCAAGCTAAGCCAGATAGTCGAAAGCTGCAGGGGTTCTAACTTCTAATAAAGAGGGGACAGTGATTTGCGAGATTGACGGCAGGCTAGGTGGCATGCAGTTTGGGGTCTATGCGTTTTTTTCTTTCTTTTTCTTTTTTTGCGGGCTCTAGTAAACCACAGGCATGCCGTGGTTGTTACCCCCCCCCAAGAGAGGAGCCCCCAAAAAGGCTGCAGATTGCTCTTGCAGATTGCTCTTGCAGATTGCTCTTGGTTGAAGCGTTTTTGCTCAGGTTGCAGATTGCTCTTGATTTATAGTTGTTTACACATGTCCCATCATCCTCAAACTAGTTTGTTTCAGGTGTGTGGTGCAGCCCGAACAGAAAAAAATGGCCGGGAGCTTGGCGTTTTGCTTATCTTAATCCAATGGAAGAGCATGAAGTGGGGCACTTCCTGCAGCGTGCAATGCGAACTAGATCGGACTAGAAATGCAACTTCAACCCCTGTTTTTGTTTCCCCTTTTTTATGTACCCCTTTTTCCGACTGGTCATAGGGAATTGAAAGGGAAACTGCAGCATGCGTTTGCCTGTTGTATTTCCAGTTGAAAGCCGTCCGGGGCACGTGCCCCAGGGGGGTAAATCATCAAGTGCCCTCCCCAAACAGGATATCGGTACAGAAGGGCTCGGCAAGCAAAGTGTTGAATGTGCTTAAGGGGGGCTAGGTGGATGCACTTCAAACCTCTGCTTCAAACCTGCTAGGCGAAAGCAGGGGTTCCCTTAGTCCCTTTTCGGCCCGATTGAAAGTCATCGATGCGTGCGGGAAAATGTAGGGAGACCTGGAAAAGAGTTGCCAAGTGTCCAGGATCACACCATCACCATGTCGAACTGGGCTGGGCAGCTATCAAAGGAGCAGGTGCAGTATGCAGCAGAGGATGCCTACTTCACCTATCAGATCTACGACCAGCTCAGTCTGTTTGACGCTTTTCTGTCCAAGTGCACTCATGGCGCGGTCCCTTTGCCAAAGTTGAACCGTCTTGCTTTTTTTGGAGGGGGTGCAGGTTTTAGCCAACGGAAGCCAACCATGAGGTTTCCCGATTTGAGACAAAGCCGCTTGGTTTGTGGCAATGCATGCCGGGCCCCCTCGCCTTGGCGAGGGCTCGCTCTGCAACCAGTGCAGAATGGGGATTTGTAAAATAACAGGGGAACTCCCCCCCCCTGCCCAAGCAAAACAAAAGGGGGGGTTTCTCTTGAATTTTCCTTGGCACCAACCCCAAGAGAGAGCGCCTTGGCACCAACCCCAAGAGAGAGCGCCGTGGCGCCTTTTCGTTTCCCAAAAGTACTTGAAGAACCGGGGCCCGCCATTTGGAGAACTTGACGTGAAAGGCCTTGTGCCCGAGGGCTGCTTAATTCCAAGAAACCAAACCAAATGGCATTAGGAGCATAGGTGTCCTTTTTGGTTGTTTTGGTGGAAAATAGATGGCCCTGGTTTACCTGGTGGTTTAATCATCTACCAGGGCCATCTATTTCCCCGAAAGGACACCTATGATAAGGAGGGTGCCTGATCCTTTTAATTGATTGAAGCCAGTATGGGGCGTGCAGTGAGCTTCAGCACCTGGTGCAGGCTGAGCGATCCGGCAGAATACCGTGCCACAACAGGTGTCCACAACAGGTGTTTGACCTCCACTTAAGTCCAGAAGCGGGGTTAGCCCAACTCATGTCCACCACAGGGCTTGGTTGCAACTTTTCATATTAAGCGTGCAACTTTATGACGAGCTTACCTCGGTTGTCGATTGTTGTCATTTGCCTGGGATCCCTGGTTGATACCCACTTAATTGGATGGAATCCCACACCACCTAGGATGTTTTAAGCCCTACTAGGTCCCCCAGTAGTGCCCTTTTACCCTTTTTTTGTGGAGGCTCTACTTGAGAACCTAGCCTAAAAGTATTTGGATAGTGCAGAAGTTTGTCCATCCACCATGCTCAGTGGTGCCCGGTGCTGAGGACGTGCACGGCTCCGATGAAATCGAAACGGACGAGGCGCAGGATATCTTCCGCCAGATGAAGCGCCTGAGAAACCAACGCCTGCAGCTCAAGCGACAGCCCCCTGAGCCGAAAGCGACGTGAAAACGCACGCAGCGGGTCTTTTAGCCGCTGCCAAGTTTAGCTGCTGACTTGCCCATTTGGGAGACTGGGGGACTGCGGTACGGTAGTAGTGCACTGGTTTGTGATGAGGCTTATGATCTTGGGCTTGTACGTCTTGCTCTGCTGAAGAACGTTTGTAACTAGCAATAGCTGCAAGTTCTGAATGACGGGGCCCTCTACATGGTTTGTTGATTGTTGTAACATGCTGCCAGTTGCTGCTGCTCATTCAGGTAGCTGCAATTATCTTAGCACCTATCTTTCCATGCCTATTTGGCATTAGAATCGAGTTAGATTTCAAATAGTATCCTGTATGGGAATTAAACTTAGTTGGTTGTTTCTTCTAATTTGCCCGCACCTTAAAGCGAGTGAATAGAAACTCAAGCAAGATGGGTTAACAGGTTTACAGGTTTCAATTGCAACGATTTAAGCTTAAAACATGTTTCAAGTATATTTCAACTTAAGCTATTTATGTTGAAGTAGAATTATATAAAGAATTGGCGAGCACGCGTTCAACAAATGACTCGCGACAGATCCCGGCCCAAAATCAAACGGATGTGCGGCAAGTACTGGGATGGTTTGTGCCATTGCCACGTGTTTGTTTCTCAAAATTGGGGCTCAGAGGGGTGGGGGGAAGGGAGGGCATGGGCGGAGTTAGCCTCGCAGTTGAAATTCTGTACAGAGGGGGGAAGCCAATCTAGGAAACGGTTTGGATGCGCTCTTTGTGGATTTCACCTGTTCTTCCCCCTGTAGGTTCATTTTTAGTACTCTTTTAATACTCGTTTGATATCCTACAGGGGATCCACAAAAGCCGCCTCCAATCCGTTTCCTATAGGGCCAAAGGGATCAGCGCCGTGCGGGTGGCCTTGCTTTGTCTGGGCACATCCCAAGGACCTTGTTGAATGTTTGAGTGCCACGCACTGCAAGAAACCATGCAGGATATTTTGCCGAACCTTGTCCCCAATGGAAAGGGAGCCCGCGTTGGCCTGTTCTTCATAGGAAAGCCAAGAGCCGGAAACAAAAATGCGGGCCCAAATGGGCTGCCATGAGCGGCCATGGATCCTTTCTAAGGAGTTTTGCTCTTACTCTCTGAAAGCAGCTTTATCCCTTTTTTGTAAAGCGAAATGCGCCTGGAATTTATTTCCAGGCGACAATTTTCGGTTTGACTCGGCGAGCCTGGTATTCCCCCCCTGTAGGAACTCAACATGGTCTTTGATGGATCCTAATCGCAGGTCTACGCTAGACCAGTCAATCCTTTTGGCCTGAGGTTGAACAAGGTCAACCAGCACATCTGCCGGGAGATTGTCAAAAAGGCAGAGGCGGGCAACGGCAGTCGCGGGCGGTTGCTTGGCCCGGACAACAGAACTGCAAGAACGGATTGGAAGGATCAATCTTTACAGTGTCATAGCTGTTTCAGAGGGTTGTTCCCTGAACACTGTGCTATTTAGCAGGGGCTTGCCAGAACTCGTACAACGTTTATTTCCCAAAAACGGCGACGGCTGTGGGTTCGGCAGCCCTGAGATTGGGGCGGCGCTGGGGGTTTCGAGCAAGTTCGGGGGAGGTTGCTGGAAATAACCGTTGGAGCCATGTTTTCACCTTGTGCGTCAACTGCCCGCCCGCACGCACACATGCACAACCGCTCTATCAAATCTCTGTCTCTCTCTCTCTCTCTCCTTCTCTCTCTTTAAATCTCTCTCTCTCTCTCTCTCTCTCTCTCTCTCCTCGCACGCGCGAACGCAGCCCACACACGCCTCGCCCACACGCGCGCACGCGCCCCACACGCATCCACACACGCAAGAGGATCGTGTTTGAACAGGCTATGCTGGCCAGGGCCCTCGTTTACGACTCGTTAATTTGCTGATTAGAACTCTTTTTTGCAAGGTGAGGTGCAGATTTCGCGGCAGGCGCAACAGAGAAAGAGACAGGTAAGGCGAAACAGATGGAAGAGAAAGAAGAAGAGGAGAGAACGAGAAGGAGACAGAGAGAGAGAGAGAGAGACAAAGAAAAAAGGAAAGCAAGAGCAAAACACAAAATAAGGAAAAAGGAAAAAGTACCAAGCAAGAAGAGATATGAGAAGAAGGAAGAAATATTCGGAAGACAAAAAGCTTGCGGCGCGGGAAGGGCTCCTGCTTGGAAAGGCTTGGAAAACGCAATGCGCGCCACGGGGAAAGTACTTGCTGGGCGCATTGCCTCCAGCTGTTGGAAGAGTGTTGCCTAGGTCCCCCAGCTAGGTGTTCTTTCTCACCGTTTCTTTTTTGTTTGGGGGGTTCCCCTATTAAAATAGACTACAGAAAAAGGGTACCCACCCGAGGACCTAGTTGGCCCACGAGTCATATTGCGCCGTGGGTCATTCAGTCCGATTTGCATGTTGTCGTGGGTAAGGGGGTTTGGGGGGGAGGGCGGGGGGTGGTCTCAAGCATCGCATGAGTCGCAGAAGGCATCATGTGTATCGGTTCTAGTTTTGCTGATTCAGCTGGCTCAGATGTCCCCAGATTCATGCCTGATTCTCGCTTTGATTCTTCTACTTTGTTTGGCTGGAGATTCAGGAGCCTTCGGTGAACATTTGGTGCTCCGCCGGTTTTTCTTGGTTTGGCTTCCACACCTGGGTTCTCTGCTGGACACTTGCACTCAGACGCCGCGCCCTTTTCTTTCACACAACTTCATTGACTTGGGCGCCTGGGGGCCTTTGCTTCCGTGGCACTGGCATTTCGTGCTGCGGCAACACCTGCTCTGGCCTGGGCACGCATCACTTGCTTTGGCTGCAGCTGCCTGGGTGCTGTCCAGCCATCTGACACGCCTGCGTTTCTTGCCGGCCACGCATACTCCGGTGATGCCTAGGTCGCCCAGTAGTGCCCTTTTGCCCTTTTTTGGGGGGAGGGTTCCCCTACTAAAATACATTACAGAAACATGGCACCACATCTGCTTCCACCTTTTCCTCGCCAGTCCAGGTAGTGGTGTCGACCCTTTGCACCGCCAACTCCTGGATGTGGCGGCAGGAGCTCTTTGACGTTGTTCTTCTGGACGAGGCGACGGGACTTCCGGTTTGACTCGGAAAGCCACCCGCATTGAGGGTTCGGCAGCCGTTTTTGGTTGTGAGTCTGGGCCCTAGTCATTCAATGGGAGCCGAAGGAGTATTCCTGCCCCGGACCAGATGGCCCCACGGCTGTCCCGAGCCAACCGCCACAGATCGAGCAAACTGGGGAGCTGGAATTCTCGAATCTTCTGCATGGCTGCATGACAGTCATTTTGCGTGTGACTGTCCACGATTTGTGTGTGTTGATTACATGGCTTCCTGCATGAGCTTATTAAGCATGATTTGCAGATAAAGACTCATGAGGCAGTTCGAATCAAGAGGACTGCATCAGCCGAAGACATTCTGCCGGTTTCTTTCAGGGGATGGAAAAAAGCTTTCGGCATGAGAGTTGCCCCGAAAACGCATGCAAGCTAGACAAACCACGCAGGTGGATTCCACTGACTCGTCCCTGAAATCATTGAAATGAACAGCAAGTTGTATCTTTTTATGATAACTGCTCTTTGGTTGTCGTTTTTTTTAGATGCTCTTTGGCTGTGTTTCATGCTCACTGCCACTTAAGAATGGCTCTTCGGCCCTGTGTATTCACAGGCTTCTTTCGCCGCGCCTGGCCTGGCGTGGGTTTGGCTTGGCTCCTCCCAGGCGGGGCAGGCCACGGTGCCCCACGGGCTCATGGGCTTCCGGAAGCTGCAGGAGGGCGGGCGCCTGGCCGCTCGGCGTGGAAAGCGAGGCTGACACGTGGGAGGGGGGGGGCCAAAAGGGCGAAGTGGGGGAGGTGGGGGAAGTGCCAAAGGCAGGGGGGAGGGCATGGTTGTTGGGAAACATTTTTTACATTTTTGCTTATGGTGGTTTAGTGGTTGACATCCCACCACTCAACTGCTAAGATTTGAATTTGTGCTCCTTTTTCCAACGTCAACCAAGGACACGGCCGCGCCATGAGGCTTGAGGTACCCTCCCACCCTTTTCACGTGGAACCTGACTTGAGGGGAGCCGTGTCGGGTTCCATGAAGTGGTGGGAGCCGATTTCTTTGTGGTGGTAGAAAAGGAGGATCACAAGGGAAAGCATAATTTTTGGGGCCACTAGGCGCTTGACGTGAGTGTGTTTTGTTAGAGAGCAGTGATGTTTATGGGAACCCTGGGCGAGGGGGGACTGAGGGCAGGCTGAGGGGGTTGGGGAGGTTGGGGTGGTTGGGGTGGTTGGGGTGGTTGGGGTGGTTGAGTAGGGTTGCTCAAGGGACACATATCTGCATTGAAATTGGTAAACATCACATGTATCATTTGCCAGCTGATTTGGGAGACCAGGGGCCCTCCGGCGAATCATATCTTTTGGGGAACCCTGCTCCGGGTTGTTTGGGGTGTCCATTGCGTTGTGCTTCAAACAAGTGGATGGCCAACATGTCAGCCAGTAGAGGTTTACCGGCTGAGATGTTTCCGATGCACGTCATTCGTGGTCTTCGGTATGAATCCAGCTTTGTTTCTTGGAGTTCGTGGCCTGAAATGCTGCGGTTGGCCAATCTTGCTTGGGAGGAAGGTTTGCCGAACCTCCTAGCTGGGGAGGGTGGGGTTTGCTGATGGCTCGTTGGCTGTCCCCACGCTGCGCGCAACATATTCCCATTCCCCATGCGCCATGTCCAAGTTTCCAGGACACTTCAGATCCGCGAAGCGAGGTTTCCTCGTGACTCTTGGTGCTTGAGAGATTTGTTTTCAGGAGATAACAATTCGCAGCTCTTTACACCGAAGAGTGGCCTCTCCTCAACCGGGCCGGATTTGACGCAGCCGCATCCACCTCGCTTCCGACAATTCCAGTGGCCGAAACCCAACAGCCTTACTCTCTGATCAAGGATTGAACCGGACGGATTCTCATTCGCCTTGGACTGAGTTCGCCATGTGCAGATCATTCCGAGATGAGCTAGGGAGGGCCTACAGTGGACCGGCACCAAGGTGTACTGCTGCTTTGGAGCAAACCCGAATAGGCGTGTTTTTGGAGGCCACTCTTTTTGGGTTGCTTGAAAGGGCCAACAAAAGGAACACTGGCATTCTTGAGGTGCCCCGATTTTGACACACGCGCTCTGGCGCTAGCATTCCGAAGGGTATTCACTGAGGTCCTGATCGGCGACCCCATGCAGCTGCCACCGGTGTGTGTGTCCCAGATGGCGGCCCACCGGGGCTTGAGCACCTCCATCTTCGATTTCCTGCTTGGCCACTCGGGCGGTTGGGCCGGTTTGGTTGAAGGGATGCCCGGTGGCTCAGACAGCCCCTACAGTAGGTAAGCATAGGCGTCCTTTTAGGTTGCTTTGGTTAAACATAGCTGGCATTGGTTTAGATGGGTTTTGTTCCATTTACCAGGGCCATCTATTTTTCCCAAAGGCCACCTATGTGAGTAAGCCATGTGCCATACTTTTTTTTAGAGGCAAGTTCCCTTGGTTACCTACGGGTAAGCGGTAAATGGAATCACGGGGAATACATGTCACGATTCCACCGATTCGGGGAAGCCCAGATCACTTGCTGCAGTCAGCTCGTTGGACAGATCGTAGAGTTTTGCTGATACATGCTAACAAGGTTGAGTAAATCACATTGATGATGCATCGGCTAATTTGGAGGATCCTCTCAATTTGTGAGTGACGTTTTGTTTTTGGTTTTTCGGGTGTATCTGTTTTAAGGTAGGATTGATTCGAAGCCACGCAAGGGCAGCCATTGCAGACCAATATAGCGACGGGAGGCCAATGAGCCAGGGCCATATCGCCATCGCTCCCTCTGCTCGAAATGGCCATGGGGTAGGTGCACCACCCAGTTTAGAACCTATTTTAGTGGGGATTGAATTGGGGGTAAAGGGTTTTTACCCGCAGCCAAACCAGTGGCAAAGTTCCGCAGCGGAACGCAAGACGACCCAGTTTGCTGATCCACTCGGGCGGTGCTTCCCTTCCGCCCGACGTGCAAATGCAGAGAGGAAGATTCTTAAATTCACCCACCCTGAGCTGAGTGTAAAGGACACCTCTTGAAAAGGAACCTTGAGCAGAATCGCCCGAAGGAAACCTTGTAAAGGTGGCTCCGGATCACAATAGGGAAGAAATCAATCGTATGTTTGAAAGAGAGATCCATTTCATTCCCAAGACCGTGTTCAAGCGAGTATACCATAGGGAACTGGGAATTCGCCCTGTCTATCCTAAGAGGTCCCCAAGGATTCGAGCAATGCTGGCTTTTGCTTCGCGCCAGACTGCGGCCTGAAGCCGAAGATGCTCTCCATCCAGTGCCCCGGCTGGGTCGAGTTCGAGATATGGGTCTGAGTTTTAAGTAGGTGGACATCATTTAGTGGACATCACGTAGGTGGGGATCCATGTCCAGCAACTTTGGAGGGGTTCCCTATTAAAATATAGGTCACTGGCCCAGGTCGGATGGGCCTTTGTAGGCTTTCCCTCGAAATTCCTCAGACGTTGAAGCAGGAATTGGAGTCAGAAACACCTGGAAAGGGCCGCCTTGTCGATTCTAGGAGCCCTTTTTGGGAACCTGCCTTTGTTCACGCCACGAGTTCCGAGTTGAAGGGCAATCATTGGCGTCATCCCGCCAAACTCGCTGTGATCCTTCTCTCTCCGAACTGGGTTCCCTACTTACCATTACCCCCACCAAAGGGAAACTCTCGAGTTGGGGTCAGGTATCGCATGCAGCCCCTGATCAGCCTTTGGCCATCGGAGACCTTCTACAAAGGCCTGGCCACAGTCGCACGGCGCCATATGCCCGCGCGAAAAAGTGTTTGGAGGACGTGCGGAAGCAAAGAGACACGGAGACAAGCGGAGACAGATGGACCAAGGGACAAAGCGTGATAAAAGAAGCACAGGAAATAATAAGGATGGGAAAGGAACAATCGGATAGACTGACAGGCAGATAGACAGACAGGCAGACAAGCAGAAACAACAACTGTTGGAAAACACAAATGCCGAAGAGGGTCGATCCAAGCAAAACACCCTGGAGAGAAACGATCCAACTGTATGAGAACTGGCCGCCTTTCAGTGCTACCTGTGCACTAGTTAGGGGATGGGGTTTCAATCACTTTGCACTCGCGCCAGCTAAGGGGGCTACAGGGAAACAACCCCAGTTTCAGACTTAGCCCTAGCCCGGAAGCAATCAGTGGCAAAAGGGTTTTTTACAGAATGGTTACACCTAGGGCAACAGGGATGTACCGACTACATAATATATATATATATATATGTATATGCATACACAAATGCCATGTAGCCGCAATTTCCAGGGCAATGCACCCGGATTGCTACATCCCAATGGACCGCCGGAGTTTGCTCATCGGCTTGCCCTCCTGGGGGTCCGAAATCCGGGTAGATGATCCGGTTAAGGGCCAGTCCCAGAAAGAGAAATCGTTGCGGAGGTGTCCGCCTTCTTTTTTATTATTTTAATTGATTCTGGGATTAAGACCATTTTAATACCGGGGTTTGATTTTATGGCTCACCTGACAGGGGGTCCCTGCACGAAGTTAATCTTCCAGGTACCCTCCCACAGTTGCTATGTTAGTGGGAGGGAGGGTTTGCCCTCCTGGGTAGGTCACTGAGTTTTAGGATCCCAACCTGAGGCAAAAGCGAAGCAAACACTTCCAGAGGCCGGCTGCGGGACGGCATCATGGCCGACACCGCGCGTTTCCGCTCGCTGCCCTGGCTCCGGCAGCCCATCGCCTTTGTGGACGTCGCCGGGCAGGCGAGGCGAGCAGCTGAAGAGTCCAGAAGCTCGTTGCCGTTTCAAGTGCAGGTCCCAAACAATGAACCAAGAATTCCGAAAGAAAAAAAACACCAGCGGCCCTTACATGGTTTGGATTGGTAATTTGAGTATTTTGGACTTTGGTCGTTAAATTGCTGGTTCCATGGTTTGGGTTGGTGGTTTGGGTATTTTGGCCTTGTTCAACTGCTGGTTGGACTCAAACGGGGCGCAAGTCATCCACGTTGGATGCCGAAAATTCTCGGGAGTCCTTTTTGGTGAGAAAACGGGTCAAGTCACACCCGGTTTCTCAGGGTTCTGCCACTTCTGGTTTTCTTTTCGGCTTCCAACCTCGCCATGTTTCTTCATCATTTCGTCTGCGGCTAACGAGTTTAAACCTTTTTCTAGCCAGTCAGCTCAGTATCTCAGTTATAGTGAGGTCCGTGCCAGCGTTCCGAAGGGTTGAATGCCTGCTGTTCTCTTCACCAACCATTCCGTTCAGAACCCACCCAAGGATCGCCGAACCGAGCAGGGAATGAGTACTAATTACAACCCCCTTTCTATCAAGGGACTTTCCAGGGAGGTACAGAGGTTATATACCATTTGAGGGTCACATACTGCAAGATTATATGGGTGGTATGCCAGTAGAGCCGGCAAACCCGGTAGGCCTACCTATAATCGGTTTGTCGCAGCTTCTGGTCTCCCGCCGTACGCTCACACATGTTTTCTCGCATGGGCTTCTTCTTTCTTCAGCTCATTTGTGCGCAAACTATGTTCACTTAGTGTCCCTAGCACGGAAGGTCCTGCTTGGTAAAAATGGGTAGCTGATGGGCCTGATATGTTTTGCCTCAGAGTCAGAAAAATTTGGTTTTCCGTACTAAAGGGGGGTGACATAGCATCCATGGCTTCAACCGCCATACCTGGGAATGCCGTTGAATCTGCGGCCAAGTCATAACCGTCGGAGAGTTGAATCTTCGCGAGGAGGAGCTAGGGGGCACATCCTACTTCAACCTGCGAGAGTGCAACGCTGTCCGGGAAACTGTGCCTTGGCGCCTCAGGCGGATCAAAGAGACAGATAGGATGGCATAGGATAGGATAGGTTGGTCGATAGATAGATGGATAGATGGATAGGCATGTACATGCCGCGTTTGTTGTTCTTCTTCTCTTTTTCTCGCAGACATGATCTTGGTAGCATGGGTGAAGAGAACGAGGAAAGACCCTTACCAAGTTGGAAAGCCGGACAATATCACAGGTCTCTGTTTTGGGTGGGCCCCTGTCGGTTTTTCAGGTCAGTGGGTCAATGATATGGTTTAGGTAGTTCTCGCGGTACTGTAATACTCTCAGCTGCTCACATCTGCAAACATATACGCACCGCTAAGTTGCATGAGAGAGATTTACATATGCACAGGCTTGTATACATACACATATATGTACATTATGCATAAACACAAATAATATATCTCTATACATGTATATATATATACATGTATATATATATATCATATTATGTTTTTTTCGTATCAAGTGCTCAGCCACATGCTTCATCAGTCTCGGCACTTGATTTGTTCAGATGTCCGTTTGCAGCAAAGCCACCAAAAAGTCGGACCCGGTACCCGAGGGCTAAACCGGGGAAAGTGCCTGGGAAGCGTAATTGTTTGACTGTGGCTTGTCGAGCCTTCTGCCGCACGGGGCTGAACGGCGGAAAAGAATGGAAAATACCTTGACACGGAGCCAAAGAGAATCCCAAGGATGGTGGAACTCGGTGCAACGTGTGTGTGTGTGTGTTTTTGGGGGGGACCTTCGCTGTTTGAGGGGACACCCCTCCGTCAACCCACCAGGGGTCAAAATGAACCTATGCGAGTTGCAAGCGCGAAACGAGGCGAGAGACGCCGAGGCGCCCCCAAAGAAACCGAAGGAAGAGCCATACGGACGTACCATGCCCTACATGTTCCCCTCTTTCTGGATGGTTCGTTTCCACGACTGTTGATGAATCGACCATGTACGTGAGATGCTTGTGTGTTCATGTTTCGTATACTCAAAGAAGATAACTTCACACGACAAGCGTGATTGCGCGATTCCCGTGAGAAGAGCAAAACGACACCTGTTCAACGCAACAAATCGAAGCAAGCTGTCCGCCCGGGTCTTGGTGTGTGATTTGATTGAGGATGCCATTTTTAGCTTGGATCAGCTTGACTGAAATTGAAAGGACAGCCGGAAGGCAAAAGGACAGCCGGCACCGTTTTCGTTTTGGGGCCAAAACTTTGACCCGTCGCCCCAGTGGTGTCCTTGTTCTTGTTGGGGGAGGTTTCCCTTTAAACGAATCCGCCCAACCGAAGGGTGCCCCTTCTTCCCGCACGTCTGACGGACGCATAGGTGGCAAGGCTCCTGGAAGAGCTGGACCCAGAGGACATCGGGGTCATCTGCCCCTACCGGTCCCAGGTCCTGCGCTTGAAGCGTGCCCCTCGGACAGTTGGACGCCGGACGCGGCTGGTGGCAACCTATGGGCCTATGGGTTTCGCCGGACGCGCTAAGCAATCCTTTGATGCGGGTGGTTTTGTGATGCATTTGCTTGACTATATCTGGCGCCTTCGCCAAAATTCGTCAACTTATGTCTTGGGTAGGCTGCGTATGAAACAGAATCAGAACTGAGGATTTCTGTGTATCCCAGAGGGGTCCAAGAGCTGGGTTAGTTGACTGTATCAAAAGAAACGATCAGGCGAAGACTGCATGGTTGGATGGTGCCTCTGGGCAAGTGGAACATACATTTTGCTGGATGAAGCCCGGTTTGAATACTGTTTGCCGGGAGCGGATGGCTTCTCTTGGTATTTTGCTTAACGAGCAAGCGGCCTAAGCAGGCACACCCATATTTGCAATCGTTCCTTGATTTTGGCGCACTCTGGTTGCCAATTTGAAGGGAGCCTCCTTTTGGTATGACTCGCCGGGGGGAGGGGGCAAACAAAATGAGGTTTCTGCTTGGCTATTCTCAACCAAGATCACCCCCAAAAAAGGGTACCCTCAAAAGAGGGGGCGGATCAGGGATTCTTATATTCCGACGACATGTGCCTCCTTTTGGTCGTGTTCAACATTAATGGCAGCCTTTGATCAATTGCCCGAGCAAATGCAGTGTCCAAACAAGGGAGGGATTCTCGAATTACTGTTTGGGGCTGATGTCCTTTAACTCAACTTTCAAAGACTCAATGACAATGAACCTTTACATATGTTGGAGAAAGGCTTGTCATCAGATATTGTGGAGCCACTAGGCAGCAGTCAATCAGGAGCTATGTGATTGAATAGTCGTCCAGGCGCCCACAAGCGTGGATCACCAATCTCCAGACAAGTTGAAGGCGACAAGGGAGAAAGGCTACCCACGCGTTGCATGGGTTTGTCAGAGTACGTCACCCACCAAGGAAAGTAGTTTCCCTCGTTATTTTGCTACATGGGCATTGTGTGGCGCAAGAAGCACATGGCCTGCCTTCTGATGGGCTGGGTGGTTGCTTTCTCGTGCTTCCCCAGTCTCCTGTTGGATCCTGTCAAGCAGGCTCGCTTTCGATCTATGCGTTTGGTTTTGCCGACTCACCTCATGACCTTGGAACATCTTGGAACTGTGTTGGCAAGTTCATGCTACAAGTTCGTCAGCTTCCCCATGTCGATGGGTCGTCATGCTCTGCTTTGCTAGAGCTCGCAACGAACCTTCACCGGCAAGATGCCAACCTTTGTCAACCAGACATCCTCGGCTCAAATGCGGGATGCGAGTTGTTCAGGTGGCACCGAAAGTATGGTTCTCCAAATTAGGGGAACTGATTGGATCCTATTTGCAGCACCGCCAAAGGAGGCATACTATCAGACACGCTTACATGTCCTCTTTCGCATTGAGGACCTCTGCGTGGAGGTGCAGTCCGTGGATGGCTTCCAGGGGCGAGAGAAGAAAGTGATCATCTTCTCCTGCGTGCGGGCACACAACGAGCCCCGAGGCGTGGACAAGGGGCGCGGAAAGGGTGGGAAGACTTGTGCCTTCTGCGGGTGGGAAAAACGGGGGGGTATTTAGTCTACCAGGTTCCGAACGCTTGTTCAAAACCTAATCCCCAACGATGAGCCGTTTGCTGATTGCGCAGTTTATGGGTTAGATCATGCGGTTTGCGGATTACGGATTCCGGGATGCACAATGTTTTGATGCTCCAGCAGACAGCTCTGACTACAATTTGCAGCACGGATTACGGATCAAGGAGGTTACCAACCAGATAAAGATTACGGATTGTGATTAGGCCCCCTGAGGTTTCGAGCATGCTTGACCAGCCCTGTCAACGTCTGTAGAAAAATGTGTATTCGAAAAGCTAGGACGGTTACCAGGCCGGGGCTTTGGGGGAAATGGGTTTCCGGTTGATTTCGATGGCTCACGGCTGCTTACCGTTGGAAGGCTGGGCGAGCCTAGGGCCCAGTGGAGCCTAGGGCCCAGAACCTCTCGGCTTTACCTCACGCAGGTCTTGGTCCATGTGTCCACTTACCGATCGGGCAACCCATTTTGGAATTCCGGTTTTGTTGAGCAGCCATATGTTTGCAGTGTTTTTCTGTTTCACCTTGAAGCAATGTGGGGTTTGTCTCTGGATGCGAGGCAACCCCATATTTGTTGAAATGATATCCGCTGATGGCCAAAGAGGCAGCATGTCGCGTTTGGTGCTTTCCTTACAGTACCCCAGTGAACCACGCAGGAATGTGTTCGGCGACAGTGTCGCTTCGCGCCTTCACATCCACCGCTGGCAGTTGTCCCTTGCCTTCTCTTCAATGTTAGGCCAAAAGAAGTCATGATCCGCAAACCTCCTGGTGACACCCTTGATTGGGCCGGTTCATTTCGAGGCACATTTCAAGGCAAAAGCCAACCAACAAAGAGGAACAACACGCGCCACTGGAGGTCTTGGTTGTGAGAGCCTACCGAAATTGCTTCTGCCCCGACTTCAACGAGTTCCGAGCTCTTGCGGAGAACTGCCCGCATACCTGAATTCTCCACGACCCTTAAAAATTGGGTCATTACCCAAGTTCAGGGTTCATGGATCCTTTTCTTAATCCGTTCCCCCTATTAATAAAGGTCTCCCTAATAATAAATATTTGTTTCGGAAGTCCCAAACCCGGGAATACTACTTTTAGAATAGCCAATGCTAAACCAATTCTAAAGTAGATATTTTCCTGCCCGTACTCAAATCCAGCCCCATTAGGGGGACCCCGGGGGCACGTTTCCTTTACTACGGCTGTACTACAAAGGTTGCGACTTTCGAGCCAGAGCTCCGGGAGCACGTTTCCTTTACTACGGTTGTACTACAAAGTTGCGACTTTCGAGCCAGAGCTCCGGGAGCACGTTTCCTTTACTACGGCTGTACTACAAAGTTGCGACTTTCAAGCCAGAGCTCCGGGAGCACGTTTCCTTTACTACGGCTGTACTACAAAGTTGCGACTTTCGAGCCAGAGCTCCGGGAGCACGTTTCCTTTACTACGGTTGTACTACAAAGTTGCGACTTTCGAGCCAGAGCTCCGGGAGCACGTTTCCTTTACTACGGCTGTACTACAAAGTTGCGACTTTCAAGCCAGAGCTCCGGGAGCACGTTTCCTTTACTACGGTTGTACTACAAAGTTGCGACTTTCGAGCCAGAGCTCCGGGAGTACGCTTCCTTTGAGACCGGCAGGCTGTGCCAACTAACTAATTAGCTACAGAGGCTGGTGGTCAAGGTCAAAGGGTGCCTCAAACCAAAAGCTCCCCAAAAGCAAAGGGTACCTCCGCAAACCATTTTTATTATTAGGGTCTACATTGTCTTTTATTATTGGGGTCTCCAGTAGTAAGCAGACACACACGCACACACTCACGCGTAGCTGGTGGTCAAAGTCAAAGGGCGCCTGAAACCAAAAGTACCCAAAACCCACAACCAAAAACAACAAAACGTGACCTCAACTCCCGCTATTTAAATTCCTTACTCAGAAATGTGCGTTTGAAGCGATTTTACGGAACGGAACAGGGGGACCACAGTTGCAAACAAGCCTACACAGAACAAGAAGTACCTCCAAAACCTGCCCTCCAGAACCAGGGGACCCCTAATAATAAAAATTGTTTTGCAGGCCGGGTATTTTTTTTATTAGGGGGGGGGGGCGTCGTTTATTATTAGGGGGAAGGGATTAAGGGTCATGGAGAGACTAGGTACACAAAGCAAAGCGAAACTAAAAGCTTAGCCTTTGGGAAGCAACACTTTGAAGCCACGCGGCCTTTTAAACGAGGTATCTGTAGCTTGGGGTGGCTTTAGAAATCTCGTCGTCTCCGACCTGTTGCTGATGGATTTTTTCTTGGGGACCGAACAACCAGGTTGAAAAGCTCAGCTGGCCTAATGTCACCTGTGTTGCCCGTGTCGGTTTGCAAACCGTTCCGAGAAAGATCCAAAATGAAGCATGAGCAACCCTAAAGGCGAACGTGGAACCTAAAAGGAATCGCCTGGAAGACCGTTCTGGGGCCCTCATCCACTCCAGGATCCATGTGTGTGTGTGTGCGTGTGCTTCGGAGGGTGGTTGGAGCGTGGCTTGTGGCAAAGAGCCTGGCAGACACAAAAGTGCGCTTTCCCTTGCTTTACGTGGAATATGGTCTTCCACACAGGCTGGTGCACTTTCATCAATGTGCGTTGGCAGGTAGAGCGCTGAAAGCCCAGTTGTTCACTCGCACTCTTTCCTCCTTTTAATGGCTTGCCCACTCCCAAAGAATAGTCAGGCTTACAAAGGGTTCCTTTTTCTACCATTTCACTGGGGAATCCCGGCGACGTTTTTTTGAGGTGGCATTGGCTTCCTGTCAGACTTCCGGCGCTTGAACGTGGCGATCACGCGTGCGCAGCGCGCGCTCATTGTCTTCGGCAACAGGAAGACTCTGCAGCGCCGGGCTCCAAAGGTGCTCATGCCTTCCCAAATGACACCCGGAGCATGCCTTGGGGGTGGCTGCGCGTGTGTGTGACCCCCTGGTCAACAATGCGTGTTCGACCTGCCTTGTAGATTTGTTCGCACTGAGGCGTGCAACAAGACAGGAGGTATGTCGGCAAATGCCATGCGTGCAATGCCTGATCAGAATACAAGCGTAGTCTGCCTAGTCTCAGGACGTCCTGAGCGTATTCTCGAGTTGCGCGCGCGTGCGCTTGGTGTTTCGCAAGGACTCTTACTGAGACAATTTTTTGGGGTGCCCCCCTCCAGGGGTGCCCCCCTTCTTTGCGTTTCACAGGCACACCAACAAGCTTCTATGTTCGGACTATTTGCTTGCTAATAGCAAACTATTAGCGCGGAGTGGAAGTACTGCTAATAACACGCTAATAGCAAGCTAATAGCAAGCTAATAGCTAATAGCAAGCTACCTAGGGCTTCAAGAACCTGTAAAAATGTCGTACCCTGACTAAAACATCGTGTTTTTCTCGATTTTCTGAAAACATCGTGTTTTCAGGAAAACATTGTTTTTAATAAAACCCCTTAAAAATGGGCTTTTGAGGCAAAACACTCATTTGGAGCAAAGGGTCAAAGGCAAGGGTCGGGAGTGGAATTCACACAGGCATCACCCATTAAGATTTCAACTGAGGGCAACGCTCTATACTGAGTATGCTTCAAATTCTAAGGACCACATTGATGAGCCTGACAGCCAGGGTGTGCAGCTGGCTTCAGTCTTGAAGTACCTTTCACAGCAACAGGCACCTGAAGACTGGCGCCAGGTGATACCGAACCAGTTTGAAGGGGGTGCTGGAATCCGAAAGCTCCTGTTGTTGCAAAACAAGACCAGGTGACACCTTTTGAGATTGTTTTTTTTATTTTATTTTTTATGAGTTGTTTTAGAAAATGGGGCGGAATCCTGGCGGCTAACCTAGCAAACCCGTAGAAACCCGTAGAAACCCGTAGAAAACCCACAACCCCAACCGAAAGCATTGTGTTTTTGGAAAACATCGTGTTTTCTAACCCGTAGCTAAACCGTGGAAAGCCCGTAGTAAAGCGTGGCAAGCCGTGGAAATTCTATGGGTTTTTCGGGTTCAACCACGAATGCGCTAATTCGAGAATGTTGCTGGAAAACAACGAAGTCGTGAGCAAAAGCACGGTCTTTGCTTGAGCTTGCGCGCTGTCCGAAGCCAGCACGCCCTCATCATGGCATTGCTGCTTGACAAGTGTCATAAAACCGTGGTACTTTTGACTATTTGGGTTCCCGGCCTCCTTCTTTCACATTAGAGTTGCGAAAGACGAGTGGCGAATGCGAAGCTGACTTCGTTACGAGCGCAAAAGGGGAGGGCGATGGGAGATTCTGAGGTTGAGATGAGGCTTTTGAGATCTTGTGAGAACGGATGACGAGTTGAAGGAATGTATGGGAAAATGCTTGAAATCGAAAATGCGGTGTTTCCCGAAAACATCGTGTTTTCCCAAAAAAACAGCGTTTTTTTTGTAGGTATGACATTTTCATCGGTTTTTGAGCTCCTGGTAATTGTAAGTTACATTTCGAAACGTGATGCGTCTCCTGAGGCAACTTGAAATGTTGCCATTTGTGCAAATCGGTATGTGCCAGACACGGGTGCTCCAGAAATAATTACAAGACGGTTGTTTTTTTCGAGCACTAGCAGCGCATTTTCTTCGGGAGCAGCTTACGTCTTACCACGCGCTTGTGCCAGCTTGATACTGATTGATCGGCTAGGTGTGATTTTGTACTCAAAGGTCTTAGTCATATGTTGTCGATAATGGGGGCATGCTTCAGGTGGTCGCGGCTTTTTGCCCCAACTGGCTGCAGCCTAAGGTCACTTCATGTGGGCCAACTGGCTGCATTTTGTGGGCCACCACGACTCGCGGTTTACTTGGCCACATTTGCTGCCCCAAGCCAACCTGTCGGCCTACACCTTCAAGTTTCTCCAGCGATCCTGGGAGACTTGGCCTAGGTCTTACACCGCGAAAGCAGTCTGGGAACTTCGCGTCCTGTTCCGAGGCCATTTGGGTATGAGTCAAAACTAAACCACCAGGGGACCGCAGGTTTTAGTCCTTGGTTCCATTTACCAGGGCTCCATTTAGGGCCCACAGCCATTTGGCAAGAGCAACCCGCCCAGGAGAGACGGAGTCCTTCCCCGATCGAACAGCGGCGCGAGTCGAGGAACAAGGCAAACGCCGCCCAGAAGCTGAGAAGAGCGCGGATGAATCGTCGGTGGAAGTGCGGCTTTGGCAAAGGGGGTCAGGGCTTGACGCGGTGCCGCAGTCATTGTTCTGGTCAAATGTTTGTTTCTGTTGGTTTGCAGTTTTTTCCTTTGGTGCATGCTGTTTGGATGTTAGGACCTTAACTGTTTGCCAAGTAATGGGTTTTCCATTAAACCATTAACAGTTAAACTTTTAACAGGGGAAGCAGAAAGCAACCGAGAAATGTTTGTTTCTGTTGGTCTGCTCTTTTTAGTGGGTGCAGATGGTGCAGGGCCTGCAGGGTGGCGCAGAAACCAAGCAATTTGTGGTTTCCGGTTTCCAGCGTTTGGCATCCCGATCCTGGGTCGCACCCGCACAAGTTGGTCTTTGCCCGCCGCTGGTTGGCCAAAGGGGATCCATCTTGTGGCTTCCCCTTGATTGGTCCCGTTTTTGGCCAATGCCTCCCCATGGTTCACATAGGTGTCCCTTTTTGTTAATTTGCTTAAACAATCGAGGGCGATCCCTCGTTTACCCGGTGTTCAATCAACTGCCAGGGCCATCTATTTTCTCCAAAAAAAGGACACCTATGATTGTTCAGCTCTGATTTCCGCGTATGGCCAGTGAGGTCGCAAGAACGACGACCGCACCAGTCGAAAGGCCCAGCGCAGAATGAATTTCGCAAAGCTGGCCAAACGGCACGGCCGATGAGTCTGCGCTTGTGCGTGCTCACCTGGAGCACTAAAACGCACTCATTATATATATATATATATATATGTAGGTCCCCCAGTGGCCCAGTAGTGCCCTTTTACCCTTTTTTGGGAGAGGGTTCCCTACCAAAATAGACTACAGACAAAAGGGTACCCTTATTCTAACCTCTCTACTGGAGGACCCGTATACATATATACATATATCAAAGTTCCCACTCGTGGATTCCTTCATTCTTGGAGTTCCTTGTTCGATAAAATTGCCTCGAGGGGCTTAAAGCCAAAACCGTCTGCGTCCAGACATTTGCCAACTTGGGCCCTGGGCCTTTCTTCGGCGCACATGCAAGAAGAGACAGTGTTTGTTTTGGCTTTGGCACCGCTCCAACAAGTCCCACAGCATGTTACATGCGCCATGGTTTGTTGCGTGGGCGGGGAAGTTGTCCATTGCGCGGTGATGTTCCATCCGCTGTGTTTATGACAAGTTGGACACGTCCCATCGATTTTGCCTCCGGCCTCTTGAGTGGAGCGTAGGGGATGCGCCAAACGCAACTCCTCGAAGAGCTAGACACATGCCCACGGCGATCACAATCAAAGCAGTGGCCCTTCTGATTTGATGTCAGGTGGTCGAATAAGTACTGGACTGGTGCATGCATGGAGAAGAATCAGAGCACTGATTCTTTCGAAAGTTCGACGGCGCATGTGATGTTTCCACACCTTCCAATTGGCTTGCCAAGCATCGCCGCCTAGTTCCCAAAACCTTTCGAGGGTTCTGGGGCTGGGCCTTCGGAGCTCCTTTGGGGGCTGCTCACGGCCCTGAGTGCTGGGAGCCAAGGGGCTTTTGCAGCACCGGGCCGGCGGATGCGCCTCGAAACCCGGAGGGAGCCCGCTCCGAGCCGGCCTTGGGATTTGTAAAGGCGAGACCACTTGGAAGGTGCCGTCAGGGGTTCCTGACGACCTTGAAATCAACGTGCATGCCAGGCGCTGTGTCTTCTTCTGAGGGTGCCCCTCTTTTTGAGTGGTTTCAAAGGGGAACCAAGAGGAAACCAACCATTTTGATGGTTCATTTTGAGACAAACCCACTTGAATTCTCTGGGTAGCACCCCTCTGCCATCTAGTTGCCTCGTTCCCGCTACAACGCGCGCGGGCCAGTTTTGTCGGTAGGCCGTGGACAGGCCCTTTGCGTCAAGTTTGGGGAGAGGGGGTTCATTTGGGCTTCCTTTTGGCGATCAAACTTGCTCAAAGCCGTCCGTTTCAATATGAGACAGCGCAGACACAGATAGGGCCTGCCCAAAACCCGATACACCAGGAATTGGCCCGTTGCCATCTACAAAGTGAAACTATCCAAGCCAACATTGCGACTGAAAGTTGTTCGGGGTCGCTAAGCGAGTTCTCAAAATGCGCGGGCTCCCTTCGGTTTCCCTTTGCACCAAGGAGCTTACCCATGAACGCCCAAATTTGTGTGAATGATTCAGACCAGTGGCTGCATGTTGAAAACGAAGAGGCAGCCAGTCTTGCATATGTCTTGGGATTGATTCCCCATTCTTTTCAGTCCTCGTTCTTTTCAAACACCGATCGCCATTTCCAACCAGGGTGTTTGGTGGCTTTCTAGAAGCCACTCTTTTCAACCATTGTTCTTTTCAAAAACCGGTTGTTTCCCCCTGGCTTTTTGATGGTTTCCTGAAAAGAAGGATCCCCGGGTTAAGAATGGGGTTGGAAGGTAGCGCTACAATTTTTGCTTCAACCTCGGCTCGCTGTCCACAGCCACTGCACTGCACCTTCTGAGAGATAGATCGCCCGAGCCAGCGAAGCGCGGCTGGCGCGGCCATGGGTAGCTTGAGCTTTCGCCGCGGCATTCATGTTCATAGGTGTCCTTTGTGGTTGTGTTGGTCAAAAAATAGATGGCGATTTCTGGTTTGCCTGGTGGTTTAATCCTCTACCAGGGTCACCTATTGCCCCTAAAAGGATACTTATGTTCATGTTGCCTATGACCTGTTGCAGCCGGGTGCTTCTTGAAGTAGTGGGCCTTACCGTGGGAGGCTTCCTTTGGAGGGATCCGTTTGGAAACGTTTCCGTCAAGCGCCAAGCAAAGTCGCAAAACATCTCCAGGAAGGTCACACCACTCACTACCCAGGAGCCCACCCTCTTGTCTGCTGCCCTGTTAGTGGGTGGGGGAGTAGGTGCGGCACGATGCTCTTTTGATTACTTGCACAAGTTTTGGCCACCAGACCCCTTTAATACTGGGATATGCTGGGCTTTGACTATGACTTAGTCGAGTTTGTGCTAGCGAGTGGTTGTTTGGCAGTCTGGATTTGCAAGCCACCAAGCCACACCCTAGCTGGATAGCCGCAGAGGTTTCTCGCCATTGAAAGAGGACAAGAAAAGGGCATGGAAAGGCGACGCATAGATCAGGTAGCTCAGCTTCAGCTGAGTTGAGCTTGTTTCCACAGCTGCTGTGGGGTTGTTAGGTCCTGCTAGTGCAGCGATGCTGGATTTGATCAATGGCATTGCTGGCTGACGACGTTCCGACAGAAATAGACTTGTGTCACGCACTTACTGGTCAGTCCGCAAATGCCTTGTTTTGTTGCAAAAGGTAAGCCAACCTCATCCAAGCGCAGAACTCTGGGAACATATACAGGGATCCTTAAAAGATGCATTTTGCAACCATTTGAAACATGTTGCTTTTTCAACACCAAAATAAAGTTGGAAACCACCATTTACAAGTTGCAATGTTCAGGTGGATCCATTGTAAGGATCCCTGATATCTAAAAACTGCAAGGTGTCCAACCTGCACAGTTTGGTGCAACGCATGGCCTGGTTCAGGTTTGGTACCGCTGGAGGCGACTCTTTGCCAAGCCTTTTGTCTTTCATCTGATGTTTTCCCCGTGGCTGAACCGGTTTTTGGCGGTTTTGCGCGGTTTTTGGCGGTTTTGGGTGGTTTTTGGCTGTTTTGGACGCCCTGCCCTGCAGGAAGTTCAACATCTCCCGCTTGACGCGGTTCAAGGTCACCTATCGCGCCACCAAGGAGCGGGAAGCACTCACGCTTGTCACGGGAGAAGCGCGCGGGCAAGGATTTTTTTGAGCTACTGTACGGGGACCCCCATCCAATCTGAGCTGGCCGTATTTTTGGCTGGCTCATGAACCGGGGTGATTTGTGGGGTTCCTCAATATGGCTTAGAAAACCTCGGTCCTTGGGGCTTGGCCGTTCCACGTTCCTGGTTCACAAGCGGTGGAGTTGGGGGGGAGTCGATACCTATGAGGACTTGTCTGGAGCAGGCTGGTGAGAAGGCAGCCCAGCAACCAAGGTCTCAAAAACGTGACAACGACTCAAAAGCAGGTCCTCATCCCTGAAGTGCTGCTTCCAGAAAGTCGCAATTCTGGGGGTACCTGAGAATCGGAAGGCGGCGCTCTCTCAAAAGCTGGTTCCGTGGATAGAAAGCGCGTCCAGCTCCTGGGTCCTCCCGTTAGGGTTCTGATCCCAAAAATGTTGGTCTTCCCCAGCGTAGCAATGATGTGAGAAGCCTAGCAGGGCTTTTGGCCGACGCAGTGGGGGATCCTTGAGCGTAGGCACATGTAAACCAGAACTACCCAAGCTTGACCTCTGAGGAAGCCCCGTGAGACTAAATGGGATGGTCCCGGTTTCCCTGGAAGAAAGGAATCGCCAGAAAAGAAAAGTGAGGCAAACTTCAAGCCCTAAACAAGCGGGCTCGCAGTCCATTTGCCCCGCAAGACTGCCGACCTCAGAATTGCAACTTGGTACCAGGCGCCCCTGAGCGCCCCTGAGATTGGCCAATTGGAGGTGCAGCAAGATGGGGGAATTCAGCCCTCCCCCCTTCAAGGTTCGAAACTTCGACAGGAAGGTGGGCCGACTCCTGCCAGGAGTTGTACGGCCAGGGCAAGAACTTCGACGCTTTTGTGGCCTTTGACAAGGCCAAGTGCACTGTGCCGCTCATCCAAGGGAAAGGTGCTGAACAAATAGCTGGCTAGCACCTCAGAACCCCATTCTGACTACTTGGTCATTTGGCCCACGGAATTTACTTGTCACAGGGTCTTGTTTCACCCAGGTCTAATTGAGCCAGGCTCCTTCATTTTTCACTTGAGCAAAGTCATGGCACGCATGGAGGCAACCCAAGATTCATGGAAGTTTTTTTGTTGTTTCTTCTTCTTTGATTCAGTTGTTGCTATAAAGGCCCATCAGCCCAAGGGCCCACCATCCCCTCCGGAAAATGAACATGGACCCCTGCTCAAACAAAGAAACAAAAAACAGGGGGGCGGTCCTCCGAAAGAAAGATTCTTCTCTCTCACGTTTATGAAGTTTATGTTTTGTTAGATCTCAGAGTTTAGAAGGTAACCGCAAAGCTTGGTTATTGCTGCGCCCAAGAACCGTGGAGCGTGTGCGGGAAGAAACAAGCTCGGGTTGTTTCCCAACCTAGAGCCTAACGTGGTATTGTAGCTAGATTGCCCCGCGCCCAAAAGGGGGCCCTTGCCTTTCATCCACTTTTGCACCGTCCACCTGGCTGTGGGTCAAAAATAGGTACCCAAAATGGCACCCTGGTAAATGGACACAATGACTAAAACCTGTGGTCTCCTGGTGGTTTAATTTTGACCCATACCCACCTCTTCCCCCTTTCGGGTTTTCCAAGCGCGGGTTCCCGTCCCGCCCAAGGCCGGGCTGCTCCATGTTGCACTGGGACCCCCTGGGCTTCGTCCTCGGCTGCACGCCGCTCGGAGCGTCGCATAGCATAGCGGGTGTTCCCAAAGCCGTTTTTTACCTGGAGTCTCCATGACCCCTAGAAAAAGGGGTCATGACTCCTTAAATTTGGGCAATGACCCCATTTTTAAAGGGTCATGGTCATGGGGACTCTAGGCCTTTTACTGTCCCATTGGGCCCCCCACTGGGCAGGTGAGAGAAGGGCACTTGCAACATGATCCTAAAATTCATCGTGTGCGTTCTGTTTTTTTTCCAGTTTCCAAAGCGGGCCCTTGGATTGATGAGGGAAGCAGAGCAAGAATTTCAGGGGGTCATTTTTCATTATTTTCAACAGTTGTTTCAACTGCACCGCCCATCCTTTTTCGCAGCGGGGTTGATTGAATAAACCTTCTTGCAAAAAACCGCAGCTCAGCCACAAAAACATCGTCAACACCAAAACAGTTTATTCTTCTATTGTAAGGCAACCCCCTTCTTGTGAGAAAAGGCCCTGACCCAGCACGCCCAACCACTGCTTTTTGGACCTCACCCGTGGTTTACGTCCCTAAAAAACCTTTGCTTGGTCCTCCAGTGGTGCCCTTTTACCCTTTTTTTTGGGAGGTTTTTTTCTACTAGAATCGACTACCGAAAAAAGGGTACCCGTATTCCAACCTCTCTACTGGAGGACCTAGTTTGTCTTTGGCCTGGGTGGCGCAGCGTTTGGGGTGGGTTAGCCCAACCGGGACTCCGGCTGGATCCGTCGACCGATCCGAGGAAGAACGATGTGGGGCGGGTGGCCCTGCCGGGCGAAGCGGCCTGGTTCTCCCTGCCCGGGAGCGGCCTGTTGAAATCTGAGACGGGGGTCTGACCAGGGGGAATGCGAAGTTTGTTTCTCTGCTGCTATTGGGTTGGATCTTTAGACTTTGACTTTTTGGATTCCCCTCAGACTTCCTTTCAACCAGCAAGTTAAGCTTTTTGCTGGGGGATCCAGAGTTTGTTTTGAGGGACTAAACAATGTCACACATGATTCCTTCTGATCATGACTTGGTTTGGTTTTCAAGTACTTGTCAGAAAACCGCCAAAAAACAACAAAAAACAGAAGAAAAACAACGGCGGGCTGGCAGAGTCCACTTGGACCTCTTTGTCAGGTTTGGGGGGGGGGGGGCAAACCACAAGATTGACTGGGGCATCGGGCCGGGGAAACAGCAACAGTGGGTGATTGAAAGGAAGGGTGGTTGAACACAATGGGCAAAATACACTCCAATCCGAGGATATAAGCAACAAATCACAGAAATCAGGAAATGAAGGTTGCCGTGGATTCCTGCAATCAGACTGG